ATATATATATATATGTATATATGTATATATATATATATATATGTATATATATATATATACATATAATATACATATACATACATACATATATATATATATACACACATATATAAATAAATATTTATATATTTACATATATATATATGTGTGTGTGTGTATATATATATATATATATATATATATACATACACATATATATATATGTGTATGTATGAAAAGCACCTTTCATATCTGTGTTATTTTGATGGAATGGCCGATATCCAATATTTTATTTTATCGCTAATATTGGCCAATATCGATACCATGTCGATAATATCGTGCATCCCTAATAAGAATAATAGCTTACCTGTTGTAGAAAACCTCATTTAGGAGAAATAGTTTATTTCTGGTTGGGCGTAAGAGCTACTGGCTACTCTGAACGAACCAAGGCCAAAGTTGTTGGCTGCCACCTTAAAACAGTTCCTATCTAAAATATTTCTGTTCTGTTCATGCCACTGCTATTTTTATGAACTGATGATTCACATGAATTGATATTCTGGCCAAAATATTAAGACATTCCTGCTGGAAGTGCCCCAGGCTTCACTGGAAACAACCAGAGAATCATATGTAGAATGCTCATGCATTGCAAAATTGATGGTGACATAAAGAAAATAAAAAAGCATGAACCACTTTGAAGATCTGTAGACTGGACTTGTTTCGGCTGCAGTCCACTTTGGTCTTGGCCTCACTCGGAATAGCAGGCAGCTCATCAGTCCAGTCACAACTAAACTATATTTCTCCATATTGAAGCTTTTTTACAACAGGTAAGATATAACCTTCCTGCACAACACTTCAGAGAACTACCCCTTGAAGGTCACTATCACCTAACTTGTGCTGCTGCTCTTTGTGTTAATTTCTTTATTGACGATGTCAGTATTCTCTCTTCTAACTGAGCAGGGTGGAAAACCACAAAGTGTGAAGCACACTTCCTACCATTCCAACAAAAATATGATCCAAATGTGTATATTTTTTTAGCTGTGCGCAGTGATTAATCAAATACAGACTGACGGTTAGAATCTCAGCACATGTTCACTATCTGAAAGGCAGATTTCAGCCAGAAACAGCCGAAATGATGTCGGAAACAAAACAGTTTTCTTCTTCTTTGGTTTTATCGCGTAGAGAACAGTAAAAATGGTACTGAGGACCTCATCTGTTGGATTGCGCAAATCAAAGAGACGACTGCCATGTAGCTGCTCAGTGTTTCTTGTCATTTGTCTTTAGAAGGTTTGACGAGCTGTTTCTAGACTTTTGCTGATAGTGTTTCAGAGTTAACCAAAATGTATTAATGAATAAAAATAAAGAACAACAGGGTCACTTCCTGCCGTGGTTAGCATCAGATATGTGACCGGAAACGTCGGCACAAGCTTACCCACAAACACGCGACAGATATTGAATGCCTGTCTCCACCGTGAGATGTTTGTTAATCTTTAAAACATTAGCGGTTAGCAATAGCACTTTTTGATAAGCACAGCAAAACACATTTCTGCTAATGAGGGGAAATGCAACTTTGAAAGATGTGACTTAAAGGCGAACTCGTATGTATGGCTGAACGCAGCACAGTAAATTAGTAACATATCAGTTGTGAAACGTTATTCGAGTAAAAAGAGCTTTTTTTGGAGCCTCCGTGACCATAAATATACTCCTCTCCTCTGCTCATCAAATACAGTAACAGAATTATTGGATGTGTTGTCTGAGGTTGTTTAGGTGTTCTTGTATTTTGAAAAGAGAAAATGTGATTCCTCTGTATCTGAATGGTAGTAACTTTATGCATTTTTGCCGTTTAACTTTCACCTGCTGATCGAACGTACAATTAATGTCTTCTGCTGTGGATAGATGAACTTTGTGAGTAATGTTTTATTTGGGTGTGTCGGATAAATCTGATTCATTAATGAAATGTAAGATGTTTTTTCCTCTCCCTCCTTACGACCGTCTTCCTCTCTGCTCCTCGGCAGACACAAACTTAACCAGTTTGTTAGCAAGCTGGTGTACTTGCCTACATTTCATTATTTGTAATGAGAAATTCTCCTACACCAGGAGTAAAACGGCTGTTTGTTACACAAAAATCTCTTTTAATCCCTTTCCCCCCCATTACACATATGCATATTTTTTATTATTTTTACTGTATCTGTGTACAGAGAAATATTCTGAATCAGCCACTGGAGCACAACTCACTGTTTGGTGTTTCGCAACTAATTTATTTCATTTTGGTTGTATGTATAACCCAGACTTTAGAGAAATACTGGTGCACTCAGACATATCCTTGCAACATGCAAAAAATAAACAAGTTATAAACAAATAAACGGAGCAACAATGGGGATATTCTGTATTAGTGGCTGATACAAAATTATCTCTGAGGACCTCTATGTAGATGTTAGCCTCTCTGATTATGTGATTTCTGAGTATGTGTATAATTGAATAGTAACATATTAAATATTGACATCAGCCAGCATTTATAAATACTGTATATAAATGTATACCCTTTATATTCTATATTCATATCTATAGTTTATATAGTGTAAATAGCAAATAAAGATTTAGTCCATAAAAGAATATAAATGTATTCATTTTCAAAGTGCTTTTAAACCTTGTTGTCCTTCAATTTCTGTCTATTTTATTGTATCTCTATATATTTTAATATGTTGCTGACAGTTATTGTACTGTAAGTGATGTTGCAATAAAGATATTGGGGTAACAGAACTCATTGGACACATTGATGTGGCAGTTGTTGTTTTTTTAACAACCGGATGACGTAATTTCTCCTAATAATTTGTGTCAAATGCATAGACTTTAGTGAATTTCAATTAACCTATTGAAATTTATTGTATGTACTAATTGCTTTATTATATTTATTATATTGCTTTAACACGAAATCCAATTCTCTAAAACAAATGACCAGTTCCCTAAACACATTTAATAATAAATAAAATTCATGTTAATTATTTACCCCTACACTGATGTGGAGAAATGAAACTAAATTTTGTTCAGTTCTGCATGGTGCACTGTACAATTTTGATTGACAATTAAGTTTATAAAGTTAAAATGTTTAACTACACTGAAGGGACACATTGGAGGCAATGATGGGTTCAGTGTTTTGCCCAGGGACACTTCGGCATGTGACTGCTGGTGGCATCGAACCCCCAACTCTTGCATTGGAGGACGACTGCTCTAACCACTCAGCCACCCAACAGTACTGTGCACAGTACACAGTCAGCAATACTTAAACACAATGAACACACTTGGCTTCATTTAGTAAACACAACTCAAAATTGAAGACACTTGTTGCACATGATTGGGACCACACTGAGTTTGAGTCAAGAGGAGGGAGAGCAAGATGACCACGCACCGTTATTACGAACGAGCTGAGAGCAACAGTCGTTGACCATGCCATTGTCCACGGCATGCCAGTAACCGAAGCAGGACAAAGCGTCCGTCCAAACCTGAGTAGGTTTTCTGTGGCCACCATTATTTGGGGATTCAGGGAACACAACAGGTACTGGTATTGCTGCATTGGTCACTGCAGTACATATGCCTCATTTCTGTAGGTCCTGCTCGGCCCTTATTGGGCCGGTACAGGTTGGATCGCTTCATTTTCCGTTCCCACAGTGCCCATTAGTGCCCCTTTAGTGGGCGAATCATTATTATCAAGGCATCAACACCTCTTTAAAAACCTTCTCCTTACGTGTCGCTCCATCTAGCTCGCTTTGAACTTTTTCGTCGGCCAGCAAACACAAAAACGCCTGAACTTCAGCATTTGACCACGGCTGTGACATTATTGTTTATACCTTCAAAATACTTTCCTCCAGATTCGAGTTGTTTCTAATGGCGGGTTAAAAAGAAGATGGCAGATCGAGTTGCGGTGGAAGTTTCTGAAACCCCGCCCTTAGACCAATAACTCCGCCCCCTGACCAATCAGTAACCGGCAGTGCGCTGACGTCAGGTTTTAGGGTCCTGCTTGGCCTCAATGGAACCGCAGAGAAGTAGGTACTGAAAAAACAGGCCGGTTCCACGAAGAAGTCCCTGTGGAAAAGAACACGGAACCGGTCTGAGCAGGGTGAAGCGGGGCCAAGGAGAAACTGTGGAAAAGGGGCAATATTTACACATTGGTGTCAGAAGCATTTGTAATGTGGGAGGGACACAATGGTGTGGGGGCGGGCAGGTCTGGGGGTCCTTCCACCAGAAATTTTTGAATAAAGTAGACGCCATTTCCTGCATTCTGGTGTATTTTAATGGGTTGTTAAACATGTGCATTTACCTACATAAGTAAACGCTTACCCACCCCCCCCAGTCGACAACTGCTGGCACTAACGTGGCGCTAAACTACCGCGCAACACAGAGGTGTTCTCCCTCCTCCCCCCGCCTCGTCAAGTGACCTCGAGCAGACACTGCACGCAGTGTGGTGACTTGTTGTAGGTAACCAGGAAAACCCAGAGTGGGTTTTTAGAGGTTTGAGTATTCTCCCGTTACCGTTTCTTTTTACACTTTGAATGTTTGCTATTTTATCTTTATTTTATCTTTGCTATTGTTTGATGTAACTGGGACCCTGTGTACACAATTTCATTCCACTACATGTACCACATGTGACGAGAACGACAAATAAAGAAACTGTGACTTTATTAATCAAGTGGAATGGATTTGTTCACAAAGAAGCAGAAACAGCGCCGGGTGAACTAATATTTTATGGTAAATGTGTGAGGGTCCAAACAAATATTTTTAAAAAGGGAGGGGGACACATCCCCTTCACAGATAATTGTTACAACGCCTATGTATTTACATTATAGTGAAGTAGGTTTCTTCTCAGTATCCCAGCTGTACAAATAGATTGTGAAACATGTCCATTGATGTTTCTATTAAAAACATGTTTTTTTTTTAAGAGTACATATACAATTCAGTAGTGTAAAATGCGTGTTTGTTTCTCTAAAGTTCAAAGAATGCTACGTGGAGGTGGGAGGGTTACCATATTTACAGTGGTGCAAGAAGCCCTCGTTGGAGATATGTTTCGGTGAACAACACAATCAGAAGCTAAGGTTTTGTTTGGGTTTCCTGAAGAGAATTTGGGGTTTTGTCTGAAGCTTGAGAAGAGTGTTTTGGGAAAACTGTTGAAGGTTTCGTGTTTTAGCAATAGTGACAATATGTAACTTTAGTGAAAACCTGAATGTTAAGAAGGTTAAGGTCCAGGCTGTAGCACCAGGAAGCTGTAAGAGAAACTCAATTAATTGAAAATTTAATAAAAATTAATTGAAATAACCTTATTAAGAATTAGAAAGCTTGACATTGTTTACACCTGTACCAGGAAATTTGTGAGGCATATTAGTTAGCAACAGGTATACAAACTGGTATTATACAAAATTCTACTTTTTGGTTGGTCAGTGAAGGTTTGTTGTAGGATAGAGAAATTAATTATAGCTAAATTTTTGTATTGTGCTTACTATCGCTCATTTTGAGAAGATTATTTTCATCTTTTTGCTGTTAAACCTAAAAAATATATTTAAAAAGTATCAGCATTAAATCTAAAAGGTCTACTTCTGCATCAACCTCTTAAGCCCATCCATCCATCCATCCATCCATCCTCTTTTACCCGCTTCTTCCATTTTGGGTCATGGGGGTCACCGGTGCCCCCTCTTAAGCCTGCGGGTCAAAATGATTCCATTCTTTAATTGCAGTCGAGGGCCAAACAAAATCACTCCAAGGGCCGCAAATGACCCTCAGGCCGCAGTTTGGATGCCCCTGATCTAATTGAACTGACACCAGGAGTCTAAAGTTCAGTATAGCATACCATTTGTGTATTTATTTATCTGGGATATCCAGCATCATTTTCCCACATTAGTTCACAATTGATCTGAAGTAACTGAACATTTGGTTTCACAAGTTCAACATTTTGTTATACTTAAACTGTCTTAAAGTATTACTAGCATTTTGTCTTGCACTTTTACATTCGTGTACATTTAATTTTCCAAACATCCAAATCATAGTGTTTTTTCTAAGAACCAAAACTTTTGGATGAAAATTCTTCAACGTTCTAGACCTTTGCATGTTTAAGTGTTAGGCTTAAACACAATTGGCAATGTTTCAAATAAAGCATGGAGCCATTGCCTTTACACTGAAACAGGTCTCTCTTGAATCAACAGGTCCCTTGAAAACGTGTCCCCGTGACTCAATGAGGCTACCTGCATAAATAAAGATTAAATAACATTAAATAAATATTTTTTACACGTCTGTGCATTTTGAAGCATGTTTTCAAGAATAAAGTATAAATTCCAAGCAACAAACACAGAGAACATAAATATTAAGAACTACTGCAGTTCTTGTCAAACTTCTACACTACATGTACATGTACTAACTAAACTTGGAACAGTGAATCTCTACAAGTTTGTCTTTACCACAGATTAACTGTTCCCATCTTCTTCTCCTGTGTGTTAAAGGACACCTGCTTTGTTTCCTGTATGGGTTCTCATGCGTGCGTTCACATATCTCTTACTGCTACATATTTGTCCACAAACATCACAACACATTCTGTCTTGAGTGGACACTCATGTGTCTGTTTAAATGCGTCTTCTGGCTAAAGCTTCGTCCACAAACATCACAACCGAAGGGTTTCTGACCCGTATGGATTCTTGTGTGTCTGCCTAAAGTCGACTTATCCTTAAAACCGCGGCCACAGACATCGCAGCCGAATGGTTTCTCTCCTGTGTGGCTTCTCATGTGTCTGTTTAAATTTGTGTCATCTCGAAATCTTTGGCCACAAACATCACAACCAAATGGCTTCTGTCCTGTGTGGGTCCTCATGTGTCTGCTCAAACTGGCTTTACTTTGAAATCTTTGTTCACAAACAGCACAGACAAATGGTTTGTGTTCCGTGTAGAGATTTGCGTGTCCGTTCAGGTCTGTTTTTACTGTAAATATGTTGTCGCTATCATCATAACAAAACAAGTTATGACTAGTTTGGACTTCGCTGCATGAGTCTATGTTTGAACAACTTGAAATCCTCCTTACTGAATGACTTGTCACGTGTCTCTGAAGTGACCCCTTGTGGAGAAATCGTTTACCACACTCTGAGCAGCTAAAGGATGTGCTGACGATGTTTACTCCTGACTCGGGAGCCCCGCTCTCCTCGTCCTTGTTTTCAGTTTTTGGTCCAGAGTCTGAAAAGTGTTGCAGCTCAGAGTCAGAGTTGTCCCCATCTTTGTCATCTTGATAATCGTCACTGACTTCTGTCTCTGAAGAGCTGAAGTCGTCGTCATGAGTGTTCAGATCTGGGTTCCTGGTAGTTTCTGCTCCTCCACAGCCCTCTCCACCAGTTCCTACTGTCATCTGGTCATCTGAGCTACTGGTTGGGAGATCTCTGTATTCCACTTGGTCCTGACGAACCTGTGAGAACTTCAGTTCCCCTTTATCATCCTCACGCTTTGAAACAACTGCAGTGACTGGAAACATGGCGGCATCAGTCTCCTCTTTCCTACTGAGCTGCTCTCCCTCCAAACTGGTCCAGAGTTCCTCTGCTTTCTTCTTCACGTTGAGGCGTTTCGGGTCCTGCTGACCAGTCCTCCATTCTTCATGAGCTTCCTCATTTTCCAGCATCATCTGCTGAACATCTGCAGAGAAGACCAAACCACGTGTGCATTATGAACAACAGTTATTTTACTGTATATTACCCGTGTTATTGCGGAGATCACTACCTCTTGGAACTAAATCCACTGAAGACAGAGATCTTTATGATCGGCTCCAAGAATTGTTTGAAACTAATGAAGCCTGTTGCAATGACTATTTTAAAACTCCGACGGTGCTTTTAGTTTTAGGCAGCAACTCTCTAAACTTGTTCCATCTTTAAACTGTCCAGATGACCTGACTGAAAAATGTTGGCTTGTTCCATCTTGTTTTCAGCAGCTTAGAGAAAATACAACATCAAGATCATAGGAGGCCTTGTGTCCTCACACCGATCGCTCCAAGAGCCTTTTGACACTTTCTTAGAGTTCAAAATGAACACAACTTAGCCGCCAGACTTTTAACAAAAACTAAAACGTATAATCAGATTACATCAAGCTTAACTTCACTGCACTGACTCAGAGTTTATATCTTAGTTTAGTGGGGAGTGGTGGCGCAGAGGTTAGAGAGGTGGGCTTGTGATCCGAAGATCGTCGGTTCACGCCCCGGCCCCGACAACATCAAAATTGTGGGTGGGGTAGGTGAAACACCCACACTTGCCCCCACCCTCATTCGCCCCACTCTGGGCCCATGAGCAAGGCCCTTAACCCCCACCATGTGCTCCCTAAACAGGTCTCTCTTGAAAATGAGTTCTCGTGGCTCAATGAGACTAACCTGTATAAATAAAGGCTAAATGAAAAAAAATATATATATATCAGAGGAGATTTTAGAATTTTATTTGCTGACTTGGAAAACTTTTAACAAACTTTCTTATCTGTATGTACCTGACCTTTTAGCCTTTAAAACATCTTCATGAACTCTAAGCATGATTAAAGTGCATGAAAATGGTGAAAAACCAGAGATGGCAAGAGCTTTGCTAACTGGCAATGGTAGCTTGGTGGTCTGTGCTGTGGTCTTGAGGCTGCCGTTTCAAGCGCAGGATGTATCAGGAAGGGCTTCTGTGAAAAAAAACAATTGCCAAATCTTTCAAGCAAGTTTGCTCAATGTAAGGAACCCCGTCGAAGGGAACAGCAAACGTCTTTTGCTGCAAAATTTCTGAACGAGCTGCTTAAATTTTTACTTAAAAATCATTCCATTGGTGCAGAACCAGGTTCTCTTGTTAATGCCCTTTCGGACTGGTTTAATTCAAGTCAACATTTTGCGCTGTAAATTTTCAATTCTTTAAATTTACATTTTATACTTTCTTTTGGTGATTGCTGGGAATCTTGGGAAATTTCTCCCTTAAAGAAACTGGTCCAGATGACATACTTTAACCTTTTTTGTGGTCATCTACCTGTATGATTGAGCTTACCTTTTTTTCCTGAATCATTTTGACCGTGGCTGTTTCTGTGAGTAGCAAGTTGGCCATCTGGCCTAAAACATGTGATTATTATACATGATGATTGATTGTTTTGGACAGATGGGCCCTAATACTTCAACAGGAGGTTGGCTTGAAACACAGCAATGAAGGCTACTTATAGGACAGATCTGGTTGGCAGGCTGCAGACTGATGAAGTCTTCTGGATGGAAGATGAAACTGGTCCAGATGACGATTTAACCCTTTTAGTCGAATAGACACCAGCTTACCTGTGATCTGAAAAGGGAAAAGCGGCTAAAGAAAATTGATGAATGGACATCCTTTGGGTTATTTTTTATAATTTTATGCCTTATTATAATTATTGTTGGTGGGTCTATACAGGTTACCACTTGCTGTTATTATGAGATATGAGCTGGACAGAAATGTATAGAGCTTCGACTGAAAGAAAGTCGGGGAGCTGAGTCTAAAAATATAATACATGACTGGGTTTAACCAAAATGGCTACAACTCAGTCATTTTCCAACATTGGGTGATTTTGGTCCAAAACTCTGGCGTGAAGAAGGAGTAAATATTTTAATAGCTTGCCACCATCTTTGTTCTTTCTTTGGACTTCTTGGTCCAAGCTAAAGATGAGATAAACTAAAATGCTAATGTGTGAAATAAAAGGGTGAAGCTGTGACAGTTCGTGTGAGAGTTAAGCCCAAGCTGTTCAATTATTGTGAGACAAATAAAGTTTTCATTTTTTCTTTTAAAGAGTAAAGCAAAAGCTTTCGTTGCTTGGCTATTTTAAAGGGCACCAAATGCGGTTTACGTCACTCCGCCACTGCTCAGTTAGCAAGCTAAGCTACAAGAAGCTAAAGCCATTAGCCACCGGAAATCAGCACCTAAACTGTAACCAACATCTTCGCAGTTTTCAGGAGATAATACAAACCCAAATGCAGTTGGGAGGTTGCAAAGATAAGAATGTGTACGATTTTGTTATTGCCACTCACCGGCTTTTAAACGCGACAGTTCCTGTTTATATTCTGCCACAGTTTGTTCAAAGATGCCCAATATTTCCTCCACTGATGCATCCAGTCGTTGTTTGATCTGCTGTTTCCACATCTTTGTTAGCTACTGTTCGTCGGAATTATCCATAAATTATTAATAATGAGCAGTAACAGATGGGTTTTGAACCAGCTTACTACTCCTACTTATCCTCCTCTTCTTCTTCTTCTTGCTAATATCGTGATGCTGCATCACTGCCACCAACTGGTAGGGAGTGCGGATCAGGACAGGAACCTCAAAAGGAAAAAAAGAACAAAAAATCGCAACAATTATGTTCACTATTTA